ACGTAAAAATTCTCTAATTAGTCTGGAAACGGGGGACCTAATTCTTGCATTCTGTGAAAACGGGTAAGATTAGCTATAATGTAATTATCTTAATCTTCACTATCGTTACTTTTTGCCCAGCGAAGCGGGTCCTTGCAGCTAGATTCTAGATTACTTAGAAAAACAGTCTTTTATATATATATATAAAAAAACTATATTACATACAAATAAAAATCCAGCGAAGCGGGTCCTTGCAGCTAGTTAAATAATAAAATATATAATAATTATATCCTTATTCCTTATAAATGATATCATTTCATTTTGTTGTTTAATACATTGACTGGCAAGCTATTATTGCTAAAATCACTATTCTGATGCTGTTTTGATTTTGTATATTTTACTGTGTAAATTTTTCCATTTCTCAAAATAAATATTCTGTTTTGTGACACCATGATTAATTTTAATTCTTAATCTAGATGCCCATTATTCATTATTAACCAGTGCTGTCTTATCCATTAGGCAGGCACATTGCTTAGGGTCTATGAAATTAAAAATTGAGAAAATAGAAGTTATGGGAATTACAATAAAACATTAAATTTTTGCTCAGTCAGTTTATTTTATGTACACTTTTCTTCACTTTTTACAAGCAAAATCTTTAATAATTCCCTCAACTGGCAACTGTTTTAATATTTCATTTTCTATGGAAAGTACAGATAAATACAGTAGAACCTCGATTATCCGCCCCCGATCAACCGACCCCTCGGTTAACCGACCGTCCTAGTCGGCAAATTTCAAATGTCCGCTAGTGATGTGGTGCTACAATAGCGACGATTATTATTTTAAAAAATTTTTGTTAGGCTTAACATCGATGAAAATTCAACGCAAAATAGGTTAATAGCGATATACTAATATACTAATTACATGGGATATAATAATATACTACACTAATAATGGATTTTTTCATACTTTTCGGTTATCCGACTTTTCAATTATCTGACCAATCCCAGTCCCCAATTGAGTCGGATAATCGAGGCTCTACTGTATGATAATTTCGTTTAAGAAAAATTAGATTTTAAGTGATTTTAATATGATTTAATGTTGAAAAAGATTGTTCTCCTACAGAATTTGATGCTAAGATTGACATGTACTGTACTGTACATTCTAAGAAAAATATTCGTATTAAGTAAGCCTGATACTAAACTGTGACATCTAGGCCCTGAGCAGGTCTTTGCTTCCAGACATATATAAATTTAGATATAACCAGTCATGGTTACTTATGGTGCTGGCTAGAGGTGACTTCTTCACCTGTGGCCTATGTACTCCTCCACTATAATACTCAGCTATAACAAGCCTCACTCCAGGCTATTGCTTTTTTTCCAGACGGTTCTAAATTATTTAACCTAACATCTACCTCTAGTACCAAAATTACTTAGCTTCTAAGTATTAATTATAGCATATTAATAACTTGATTAATTATGGCAATAATTTGGCTTGATATCAATACATTGAGTTTCAGGAAGTTGTTATATATACTGGATACTAAATTCTTTTCTTTTTGCAGCAATGATAATTCTTGTATTATTTTGCAATTCAGAAATAATTATGAAAATAGGAAAAAAAATCATCTACAAACACATCATCTAAATCAGTGTTTCTCAACGGGGGCGATATCGCCCCTATGTGGGCGTTTTTCCATGTTGAGGGGGCGATTAGTAACAATTTATATTTTGGGGGGGCGAAAAACAATTTTCTGGGCGATATAGAAAAACATTATATTAAGAATAATTAGATATTTTATTCGTTATATCGTACAATAATTAAACAAATAACATTATACTAGTCACAAGTCTATTCAATGTAGTACGAATTTGGTGTTAGTCTTGGTCCTTGGCATTGGAATTTTGAAGTGAAGGGGGCGATAATAGGTAACGGTTTTATTGAAGGGGGCGATACTACGTTGAAGGGGGTGACAATTCGTTAGAGGTTGAGAAACACTGATCTAAATCATTATTACATGTTTGCACTAAAATTTTCGCCTTACTAATCACTTATGTAATCTAATTAATATAGAATCTTTTTAAATAACTAAATCTTAAAGCAACATCTTTGTTGGTCACATATTATTAAATACATGAACTTGTGCATATTTGGTAATGTTATGTGCAACCACAAGACAGGATACATGACACTAATCAACCAAATGCTAGACATATAAAACAAAACTTATCCTGACTGATCCTGACTCATGCAACGCAACAACAGGCGATATGAGTCACCTCCTTTATATTATATTATAATTTATTGTTTAATTTAAAAATCGATGTTATGTATTCTATATTGTACTCATATCTCAATTAATAAAATACACAGTAATTATATTGTTTCAATTAAAATGCATTAAATTATTTAGAAGATAGTTAAAAATGTTAACTTAAAGATTATATTTAAAAAATTAAATAGTGTCTAGGGCATAAGAGAAGCTTAATGCAGCTCTGTTATTAACATTATTTTCTGTGAGTATGTTCATATCAGATACTGTAGGCCAGATCACATTTTACAAGATAACTTGTAAGCAATGTCCTAAAAGAAACCATCACCAATGAGTTAACTTGTAGTTGGCAGTCAGTATGTTAAGATACCAATTCAACTTTTGACCAGGGCTATGGAGTCGGAGTTGTGGAGTTTTGGTGTTTTAGTTGGAGTCATCAAAAGTCCGCTGACTTCGACTCTGACTCTGGATGTGTGTAGGGGCACTATTTAGTTCAACCACTTTGAAGCTTAATAACTCCTGTGGTAAACCATTCATCTTTGATTCAAAAACCATAGAAGTTATTAAGCTTCAAACAGAGTGAACAAAATCGTGCCCCCCCACATTATAACATCCATACATACAGGGAAAAAAAAACCAAATATTTTGCTTATCTGGACATTTCAAGTTGTCCTGAGTCCAAAAATGTAAAAATTTGGGGGGTCATTTTTTGATTGATTGCTACACTTTCTGTTATATATATAACAGCTGGAAAAGTAAACATTATCAAATAACTATTTATATATTGGCTATGCCATTACTTAGAGGAGTCTTTTATCTTTGGAATAAAAAAGTTTCTATGTTCTATCTTTATTATAACTCTATTTATTGAAGTTCTATTCTGAGGTCACATGATGACATTAGAATTCCCAAGCCTATTTTGGTAACAAGTCCACCCTTGGTCGAAGTTTGAGTCAGATGGTAAGACAAAGTCAGAGTCAGTAGATTTTTAAACGACTCCACAGCCCTGCTATTGACATTATTTTTATTAAATTCTCAATTAAGCAAGCAATTTTATCTTCCATAATTCTAAGATATGTTTATTTGTTAATTAATTAAATTATTTATTTGATGATGATGATAGTTAATACCAAGTTTGGATGGAATGAAATAAAAGCATTTTTTTTTTTTTTTCGTTTTTTTCTCCCCTTTCTTTCTATCTTTTGCAAAATTATTAAGAAATTTACTATTTTTAGTGCTTAATGACTGTTTTATTATAATTATTAGACAATATCTGTAAGTAATTTTTGCAGATAAAATAGTTTGATCTTCTACTATATATTTATGAGTAATAAAATGACAATAGACGTAATGATTCGTTATAATTAAAAATTGAATTTAGATACATAATATATATTTTTAATTAGACAATTTAATAATGAAAAGTAGGAAATCTGTAGTAAAATCCAGTAGGAAATTTATTTGATTTAATGTTTTTGGTTTTTTGAGTATTTTTTAGATTATATCAATACAGAATAAATTTGATTACATATAAAAACAAAGAATTAATAAGCTTATTTCCTGGTAGATTTAAAGTTTTTGTTTTTAATTTCAGCAATACATCCAGTAAAATATTAGCTTTAATATACAAAATATGTTTATTTATTAGCATAAGAACTCTTATAACTGTTTTAATTGAGTACAAACATAATCAGTTAACAATTTTGTCTTGGAAACACTGGGTATTGCTGCTAGTACCCCTGTAGACCTCTTTGAAGCTTCTTTAATTTCTGTAGTAGACAAACGAGTTGGTACACATTTAAAAATATATGTTTAAGAAGATAAACAGAATAACTTGAACTTGTATTTTATTTTTCTTATTAATAAAATCAGTTAATATGCTATTATGTATAAATATTACATACAATAAATAATATGAAATTGTTCAAGACAATTTTTTTCATCACATACAAATAATTTTGTAAATTATGGAAAGCTAAAATAATTTGGCTTGTATATACCTTTCAGATATTTTAGTTGGCTCACTGTTTAAAAAGTTTGTCCATCCCTGAGATAATTAATACTTATTTAGAGTTACCATATATCCCAATTATTTTTTGGGATTATCTGATTTGGAGCAATTCATCTTGATTAGAGTATTTTTCCCAAAATGTCCTGATTTGTCTGTTTCTATTTGAAAATATTCTGATTTGTATTAAAAACAGTCAAATAAAGAGTTGTAGGTGATAGGTATCTGCAGGTGTTGTACCGTACATGCATACAGTAAAACATGCTTTAGTAATCAGCGGTGCTTGCATTAAGTTCTATTGTCACTGTGTAATGCTATATGATGGCTTCAAAACCATCAATTATGTGCAATCATTGATGATGGATCAATGATTACATCTGACCAAAGCCTAACTTTTTTACTCTCTTTGCCCTGTGGTTACTAAGAGGATTTTTATTTTTAATTATGTTCATCATGGGTTTAGCCACATACACAATGAGGACAGCTAAGTTTTATAACAAAAATTTAAGTGAAATGTGTTAAGTCAAATGGGTACAATTATTTCAACAGATGATAAAAAATAATTGATAATTCAATCAAATTTGTTTAATTACAATTATTCACTTATTTCAATCAAAACTTCTTCCAAAACTTCAGACTATGAGGCATTAAATATAATTAAAAATATTTTAATCTTGATAGCAATTCGATTTTGAATTGCCTGAAGACGACGTGCATATTTACGTCGAAAGCGCTCGCAAGATTAAAATATTTCAAATTATATTTAACGCCTCATAGTCTGAAGTTTTGGAAGAAGTTTTGATTGAGATAACTGTTGGCGTGACATCCAAGCCCAGTACTTAATATTCACTTATTTTCCAGAGTAGCTGCTGCCTATAGTTTCAATTTTATAAAGTTTAAATATAGAATAGACTGCTTGGTTCAATGTTTTTTTAATCAATGATATTGGCATTTTTTTTTTATTATGCACAGAAAAAATTAATATAATTTTAATTTTTTTTAAAGAATATTTGAAATATTTGGTCTAAAAAAAATGGTAACTACATCTTGTAAATTAAGTTCTTTTATAATCTTGTGTAAAAATCATAACTAATTTTTCAGATGTGAATTAACAATTGGAAGAGCCATACGTCATACAACAGAATTGATTGGTATAGATTTTGGTATTAAAGCTTTAAAGGCTATGCTGTATCAAGTCTAAAGGTAGATGTACTATATAAGTTAATGTTTATACCTTTGTCATTGAAGATATAGAGAATCTTTGATTAAATCTTTATTTATTGTGTTTTAACTGCTAAAAAAATTATTCCTAAATCAATGCAAATTAATAAAGAGAATGTTGGGAAAATAACAATTAAAAATATTTGAAAATTTTTTAAAATACAGTAGATCCCCCTATAAGACGGTAGATACGTTCCATTCTTTATGAATCAATTTTGTAGGAATCATAGTTTACGGACTACGGCTGTTTGAAAGGTTTTCTTTCATAAAATTAATCGATTCTAGACTAATTCGACTCAACATTTCCAAAATACGTATATTTTTTTGAAAATAATCCGTATAAACTACGTTATAAACAAAAAATTGTAGGATTGCTTACCGAGTGTGTACCGTTCGACTACGCCCGTTGCTAAAGCTTGGTTTCGTCGCGGAACAGCGCATCAAACCGCGGCCGCGATTTCTGATATTATTTTTCTGCGAAAACTTCGTTGACCTTTGGAGACATCCTTAATATAAATAATTTTTATGGCCGTTAAATAAGAAATGTTTCTTTCACAAGAAATGTATAAAATTACAGTACTGGACAGACGATAGGTCGCCTAACTCGCCGTAGCGTGACGCTAGACGGCGAAAAATATATATTTAATTATAATAAAGTTACAATAAATTAAGTTAATATATAATTATATATACAGTACCTAATTTATATATAATTAATATATAATTATATGTACAGTACCTAATTTATATATAATTTATATAATACTGTCCAGACGATAGAAATCTCTCCGTAGCGTGGCGCTACGGACGGCGGGTAAGTAGTTCGGCTGCCCGATGACGTTTTACGTATTATAGGAGTTATTTTTACCGTTGTTTATGGATAATGCCACAATTTTTATAGGAATCATAACTATAGGAAACGGTTTTATAGGGGGATCTACTGTAGTTTATTTATTAGGCTTATAATTTTAGAATAATAATAAGAAATTTTAAGTGTTATAATATATAAAATTTAGTTAGAAAAATATTATAAACAACTGATGGAAATTAAATAAGTAAAAAAAGTCATAGACTGACTATATATACATGAATCAGAGTTGCCAATTTTTGGGGATCAATTTCTTTGGTTCTCAAATGTCTAAACTAATTCCAAATATCTTGTTCAAAAGATAATTGCTTTCTTAGATAATGTGCAAAATTTCAAGATTTTCTATAAAGCAGTTGCTGAAATATAAGCAATTGAAGAGTGCAAAAAATCACCAAAAACAGCTATACAGTAATGCCCTGAACTTATGCGATAGGTGAGACCGAGCAATAACTGCGTAAATTGAATTCGCGTAAGTTGTGGTATAATTTCGCAATTTGTGTAAAATCCAAATCGGATGTATGTAAGCTAATAAATGTTCTTGTTAATCTTATCTTGTCTTTTGATTTATTCACGGTTACATGAAATCACCACATAGAATCTTTCAAGTCTCCGTAGATATAACAAACACAGAATAAATAACACAAAATAAATTGTAGCTATGTGTCAATTCCGCGCAGCACGTCCTAACATGTAAGCTAAACAATAGTGTGGGGGGAGTGAGTAATCAAGAGTTGCGTGGCACTCAAACAAAAGATGAATCGACAAGATTTGAAAATTGCGTAAGTCGAGGTATTACTGTATTTTCTTCTTTTCTTCATCTGGCGCTGTAGATGACCATAGAGAAAAAACTACTGGGTGTAGAAAGCTAAAATTTTAAACTTAAGCTTTTCTTGTTATTGGTGAGGTGCTGGTGAAACTTTCAGATTGATAGGCCAAAATTCACAGGGGTTTCCCACTGAGCCATTTTAGTTCTACTGCTTAATTTTATGCTTATAAGGATAAAATTGCATTGAAACAAATGAATTTTATTTAGAATGTTATCCAGAATAACAATAACTCAAATTTATGCAAATTAAAACTTTTTATGAGGATTTTTCTGAATGGTGTATTGAAAGCATTTGATCGGCAAGTGCTGACTAAATTGTACATCATTGTCTTATGTCTTGATGTAATAATACAATAATTAACCTAAAAACAATTGATATCCAAACAAAAACATCTGAGATAGGAAAAAATTGTGTTAAGTAAAAACTTTCACAATTTAAATGACAGTTAAAATTTTTTCTTAGGAGTTTTTCTTTGGTAAAGATAAGCTTGGCACTTTGAAGCAGTACCCACAAGAGCCACAAGATTTTTACCTGTGTTATTGTTGTCTATAAATTGCTTCCAAGTGCCAAGCTTATGATTACCAAAAAAAACTCCTAAAAAAATTTTGACTGTTATCTAAATTGTGAAAATTTTTACTTGGTGCAACATTTTTATGCCTCAGATGTTTTTGTTTGGTACTCATAGTCAAAAATTCACATTTTATAAATTCTAATAACAAGTTTAATAGAATAAAAATGTTTTTGACCAAATTAAATGGTCTTTTTCAGTTAATGAACTATCAAATACAAAATTTGAATGTAAAAGAACAAAAATTTAAACATTAAATCAAATATACGTTATACAGGTATACCTCGACTTACGTCGTTTCGAGTTACGTCGTTCCCGATTATACGTCGTTTGTCAAAAAAGTATACGGAAAAATAAAAATCAAGTTTAAGTCATTTTATTCGACTTTACGTCCGTTCGCCACAAATATTGAAGTCGTAATATCACTAGAAAAGCGTTTAAAGCACATAAAATCATATTAAAATATATAGATTTACAAGTATGTACTGTATTTAAAGTACAGTACATGCCTTCGTAAATTTAGATTACTTTTTTCTGTACTCCATTAAAAACTAAAATTTATTTGTTTGTAAGCTTAAAATAGATTCTTATTAACCATATATTATTAAAAATGCATTAATAAATAAAATACAGAACTGGGAATAGTAATTTATGGTTTAGCCTAGTGACGAGTAGATTCGGAGACAAGTAAATTCGACTTACGTCGTTTTTCGACTTAAGTCGTTTTCCTGGAACCAATTACCGACGTAAGGCGAGGTATACCTGTATTTAAATTTTGTATATTCAATTTAATGTTTGAATTTTTGTTCTTTTATGTCTAAACTTTTTATTTGGTAGTTCATTAACTGAAGAAGGCCAGTTAATTTGGTTGAAACGTTTATGTTCTATTAAACTTCTTACTGGAGATTATAAGGTGTGAATTTTTGACTATGTATATAAAATTTAATTTTAAACTTTATCATATAATGAAGCATCTTCACAAAATGTAGATTTTACAAAGTGGGACTTAGAAGCTCTGCTTAATCATTAATAGAATATTTTAATGTAATGGCTTTATATTTGATTTCTTTTTTTTTCATATTGTAATGTGAGAATTAACAAAGAAGACTGTAAAATATCTATTATTAAATTAGTAGATTGTATTTAGTAAAGGATGTGTTATAGGCTTCAAGTGAATAAAAAAAATATAAATCTCTAAAATCTTAAGATACATTAAAAAAATAAAAAAAATTAAGATACATTAAATATATTTTTCATATTTTATTTTTGTTAGATTTATTAATTTTAAATGAAAATTGTGTTAATTAATGATTTAAAAGCATGGAAAATGAATGAATGAATTATTTAATTGAGTAATAATTACTGCCTGCAATAAATTTTTGTTAATTTAAAATTTTTTATGTTAAATTTATATTAGTTTACTATTTTATATACATTATATGTATATAATTTTACATAATAGAAGAATTTTTTTAGATATTTATCCGCATATTTTCATCATTGTTTATATTTTTAATGAATTTTCATTACAGAATTATTATTTTTTTTAAAAAGCATATTTGATAATTCTATCCGCCAGATTTTTTTTTATTTTATATATATATGACATAAATAGTAAAGTGACCTCTAACAATAGATTGAGCTGCTATTATTTTGTGAGTTCATGGAAAAGAAAGCCTAAGGAGTGACCACACTTTCTCTATATATATTATTCTAGTGTATATTTTTAAAATATTTTTGCCATTCTGTTTATATGTATAGAAAAACAGAAAGACAAAAATATTCAATATAAACTGATATATATATATATATAGATTAGATCTGTTTTATAGTTTAAAATATGAAACCAGAACAAACAAAATTTATAAAATTGTTTTTTGTTTACATGCAATGCATGCTTTTTACTAGAGATGCCACGAATATTCGGCTACTATTCGGTATTCGGCCTATTCGGCTACTTTTTTTAATATTCGGTATTCGGCCGAATAGTACGCAACATTCGGCCGAATACCGAATACCAAATCATGAAAAAAAAACCGCACATATTACTCAAAAATGTATTTATTTTAATCAAAAATTATTACATTTAATACTTAAAATCTATCAGTCGTAAGTTGTAATGAATGAAAACAATTTTTTCAGCATTTGTTGATAGCAAACGATTGCGCTTTTCCTCATAAACTATACCTGCTTCTGAAAATAGCCTCTCACTATATACACTACTGCTGGGAGACGATAGATAAATCTTAGCGAATTCTGTCAGGCTTGGATACTGTTTTGCGTTTGCTGACCACCACTTGTAAAGGTCTGCCGTCCGATCTAGGCGAACAGTTTTCATATAAAGTGATACAGTGATATTTTTTAGTAATAATTAGTAATGCAATTTGATGTAACAATGAACAAATAATGCATGTTGTGACATGATCTACTCGCAAATAAAACAAATGTGCCCGCAGTGTCGCCACCGCACCCACCGTAATGTATCAGGTCGTAACATATCACCCGCGAAATGTACACATATTTTGCCGAACATTCGGCCGCCGAATATTCGGCGCTTCGGCCAAGAGCATAGCCGAATGTTCGGTATTCGGTATTCGGCAAAATCACTATTCGTGGCATCACTACTTTTTACAGACTGTATTTTTGAAAATAAGCATTATCATAGTTCTTAGTGTCTTTCCTTACATATACTGTATTTTGACGAGTATAAGTTGCACTT